CCCATTAGCCACTCCTCAAACCCACCCCCATTAGCCACTCCTCAGAACCCACCCCCCACATCTCTTGTTTCCATAGCTTCAGCTAAATGTGGCCCCAGTCCCGGCCTCTGCCCAGGCAAGTCTTTACAACCTGGAACTCTTCAGAGACCCTGGAATGATGTCACCGCTCCTTAGGGCCAGGAGGTGGCTCTGAGGGCAGCTGGACATGTCTCCTTTCCAGGCCACTCAGCTCCAGGGAGACAGTTCAGATGAAGCCTGGGCCAGGCAGGCCCTCCACTGAGGAAGGAGGATGGGCAGCCGACAAGATCAGGGTCTCCAGGAGGGACAGCAGTGTCAGGGACAGTGGCAGGTGCCTKTCCAGGTGCAGGTCGATGCAAAGGACAGATGCTGACAGTGGAGGCCCCAGAATTCCCTGTGGCCTGTCCTGACCTGGGCTCTGGCTCCACCACTGCCTGAGCCCTGCTGGCGGGCAGTTTGAGATGCAGGAGCTGTCCTCTGGGTCCCACACGACCCCAGGTCTCTGACTTGACCCAGGCCCTGGAGATCCTCATGGGTGGCAGGCAGGCCATGCCATAGGGAAAGAGAGGATGCCCTGGAGGCCCTCAGAGACCCCAACGCGCGTGTGCTGGAGCGGCCTGCTGGTGGCTGCCCCTCATCCACCCGCCAGGCTCATGAGTCCCAGCACCCAAATGGAGCCTAGGCCACTGTGCACCAGCTGCTCTGGGCCACCTGCCCTGGTGGGCCCTGGCTCATCTCAGGGTCCTCCAGGACTCTGGACAAAATCCATGCTGTGTGCCCCAAACAGAGCAGCCACAATCTGCACCATCTGCCAGAAACAGAGGGAGACTACTCATCCCACATGGGCCAGGGGACCTCACACACGTGGGCCAGGGGACCTCAGACACCCTCACACACATGGGTCAGGGGACCTCACACACAAGGGCCAGGGGACCTCACAACAGCCAGGTTGGGGCAAAGGCTTACCGAGAAATCTGTGTCTTCTGCCTTCAGGTGGTCAGCAATGTACTGGACGCCCTCCACTGCCCGAGTCAGAGCTGGTGACAGGGGCAGGTGCTGGGGTGGCACTGCAGTGCTGCGGGCCTTGAGCACAGTGACTGGGGACACCACGGAGGGATCCTTCTTGCATGTGCATTTGCATGGAGAGAGCTGGTCTGGAGGTGGGAGCTCGGCTGAGTGGGCCTTCAAGGAGGACAGGGAGCCAGCCATCTGGCCATCAGCCTGGGAGGCCACACCATCTCGGGGAACACAGTATTGGATGCTCCGAGACCGGCACCGGATGCCACCCTCTTCTGCTTCGTGGGGGCTGGACATGTGCTGGACACTCAAGGACCTGGCTTTGGTGAGACTTGGGGCCCCAGGGCTGTTGAGTGGGCGACAGGGACCTGGCGAGGGGCGTGGGCTGGCCTTCTCGGTCTCCAAGGGCTGTGGAGCAGGAACCTGGCTGGAGGGTGACTTGCAGGCAGGCTGGGGTTCGGGTGTGTCCAGGGGGACACAGAAGGACAGGGCAGGTGATGGTCCCTGGCTGTGCACACCACTTAGGATGCTGGGCTCCCCTTSGGGCTCTGGCCAGAATCGCGGGGCATTGGCTATCTTGTGCATGGACTCAATGAGCCGCCGGCAGTTATCCTTGACCACAGATGGCCGCTTCATGAAGAGAAGGCGGGGCACAGTATCCAGGAAGACCCTGCGCACCCAGGCAGGCATGCTGTGTGTGCGTGGTGAGCGGTGGTGCACGTTGAGCACGAAGACGGTGATGACGATGGAGAGGGTGACGAAGATCATGGTGAAGAGCAGGTACTCGCCGATGAGCGGGATGACCAGCGAGGTGGACGGGATGATCTCGGTGATGAGCAGCAGGAAGACGGTCAGCGAGAGCAGCACGGAGATGCACAGCGTGACCTTCTCGCCGCAGTCGGAGGGCAGGTAGAAGACCAGCACGGTGAGGCAGGAGATGAGCAGGCAGGGGATGATGAGGTTGATGGTGTAGAAGAGCGGCAGGCGGCGGATGACGAAGGCGTAGGTGATGTCGGGGTACACCTCGGCGCAGCACTCGTACTTCCTGGTGTTGTAGGTGCCCACGGCGTCCACGATGACCCACTCCCCGCTCTCCCAGAAGTCCAGCTGGTCCACGCGGCTGTGCATGCTCACCAGGTCGATCTTGGCCTTGTCGTAGGTCCAGGACCCGAACTTCATGGTGCAGTTCTGCTGGTCGAAGGGGAAGAAGGTGACGTCGATGCTGCAGGAGCTCTTGTAGATGGCGGGGGGTGTCCACTGCACCCGTCCGTCGTGGAACAGGTGGGCCTTGGTAAGGTGGGTGACCGCAAAGTCCCCATCCGCACTGGGCAGGAAGAGAGAAGAGTGAGGCCTGTACACACCCACCCTCACACCTGCTGCACTCAGGGGCGCTCCTGCAGAGCCAGCCAGCYGAGCACATGGCCCTGGGCCATCACCCACCTGTGTGCCTCAGTTGACCACCTGAGCAGAGATAGCACATGGTTTTGAGAACTCAGAAGGATGAACTGGGCCTGGCCCAGGGGCAGAGCATTGCTGCTGCTGGTGATCACTACGGTCCCGGGGACTGGGGCCAATCCCTCAGCTTTCTCTCTTGGGGCTCCCGGTATCTCTAGGCTCCTGTACCTCTTGAGGGGGCCAGGATGCCCCAGGGCCTCACTGTTCAAAGCATGGGGGGAGTTTCTTGCCCTGCCTTGCCCTCCCCTCCCCTAGGCCACGTGAGCACCAAGAGGAGGAGCAGACTCCTAACCTCCTTGGTCCTGGAGCAGGCACAGTCCTRCAGTGCACTAGCAGGTAGCCTGAAGGCCCCGCAGGACCCGGCTGTCCACTATGCATGGGAGCTTGCGTGTCTCCAGGAAAGAGCGAGTGTCCCCTGAAGGCTGGTCCCACCCAGTGCACACTGGCTGCCTGGCTGAAGAGCCTGTGAGCAGCTGCTCAACAGGGCCCTCTGGGGATGGACGGTTTTGCCTCTGCCCACTGTGTCTGTGCTGAGGACCATGGACACGGGAACAGCTTCTGAAGCACCCTTGGGAGAGTGTATAAGCACCTCCTGGGGCCAAGGCCTTGTCCCCCTGCTGGCCCCTGCTCTGGGCTGGCACCACGCTCAGGGGGGTGCCTGGTTTCACCTCTGCCACAGATGGCCAAGCAGGGCTGCTCTTTCTCCTGTTAGCCGAGGGACTTAGCTGCCATCTCCCTGAAGGTGAGGATGACACTGTGGCCCCAGAGGCAAGGATGGTGCCTCAAACTGCGGGGGACAACACAGGAGCTGAACACAAACTCAAGCTGCTGACTTGGGGGTCAGTGTCTGATGGCCAGCCTCTGCCTCTGATGCTTCAGGGGACATTRGTGTCTTGTCCATAGGCCGGGGTTGGTGGAGGAGGAAGGGGATGCTGTCCCCCCCTCCAGCCCCTTTCTGTGGCTGGCAGAGCTCCCAGTCCTGGCCCCTGGCTTCAGGGACAGTGATGCCTGTTTGGGCATGGCAACCAGGGCACCCAGGCAAGCAGCCCCCGCAAAGCCCCTCCCTGCTCCTGGGGTGCCCCCACTTGACTCCAAGGTTCTCCCTGAAGCCAGATGTGGTCCTGGAGCAAAGGCCCCAGCCCACACGTCTCTTGTCTTGGGTAACCTGTCTGCCAGACCTCTATTTCCCCCAGGGCCCAGTCTCCTGCAGAGGGAAAGCAATGCCTGAGCCCCTCTGGGCAGTCCCTGCCAGCCTTGGCTCAGAAATGCTAATGGAGACCTCATTCTACTCTTGGCGAGCCCTCTGGCCCTGAGTAACCCCCACTGAGGGCACCTAAGGAGGCGAAAGGAGGCGCAGCCCTGAGCCTCAGGCCCTGTGTCGTTCCTTCACCTGCTTGGTCCCCAGGGCCCAGCTTGAAGGACAGGGCTTCCCAAGGTYCACGGGCAGCAAGGGCTCTGCTTCTCTGAGCCTCATCTGGCAGCTGGCCCTGCACCCCTAGCTAGCACCATCGGGTTCTGACCAGTTTGAGGCTCTGGAAGCCACCTGGGACCCGTAGGCCCCTTCCCTTCGTGTGCCACCCATGCTGGTGCAAGGTCCTCAAAGTGGCAGGACTAGAGCCCACCTCTGAACCCGCAGACTCACCTGGGACCAGCACCTGGCTCCTCTCACCTCCTGTGCTGCAGGAGGAGACGCCACAGCAGCTCCACTCGCATCCCAATGAGGCCTCCCAGCCAGGAATGGCCTGGCGTCTGCGTGAACACCCCCCACACCCCCGGCGGCACAGGGTGGATCTTGCTGCACATCCCAGCCCATGTGGAATCAGGCTTGGGTCTGCTTCCTTCTGTCCCCATCTCACCCCAAATCAGAGCCTCACCCTTTTGAGGCACAAATTAGAATATTCTCCCACCATGAGCAGATCCTTTTCAGCAGAGGTTCTGCAGGAGGGTGTGAGTGGAAGGCTCTGGGCTTTCCCACACTCAGGGACGGCAGCTGCCCTTGGCCTTGCAGCAGGACAGGACTGGTAGCCACAGCCTGGCTCATTCGCCCCGGCTGCACCCTGCTGCTCTGCCCACCCTGCCCAGCCCAGGGCTGCTCTGCCCACCCTGCCCAGCCCAGGGCTGCTCTGCCCACCCTGCCTAGCCCAGCTCACACGGGGGAGCTTGTGTGGAGAAACAGCCTGCTGTGGCCACCCTGGCCTTGCTATCGCGGTGGCATCCTCAGGCATTTACTGCGTGGCTCCCTGAGGAAGGAGAGGGTGTGTGGGGGCGGCAGGGGCGCCCGACTGCTCCAGTCCTGGCTCTGGGACACCACACCCCTGAAGCCCTCAGCTGAGGGTGAGCTGCTTCCTTCCAACCACAAGTGCAGAGCACTGGCCACAGAGGCCAAGGGCAGACCCCCTCAGGAGCAGAGGCCAGCTGTGGGCAGGACAGAGCAGGCTCTCAGAGCAAGCTGTGACACCCTCAGAGGCCTTTCCTAGGCCAGCTGTGCACCCTGCAGGTCCCAGGCCCACACCCCACCCGGCACCTCAGATGTCCCAGGAAGCCTGAGGGGTACCGGTATTCGGGCTGGACCATCCAACCATGGCYTGTGCTGGACTTGCCACAGGCCAGAGGCCGGAGAAGGGGGTCCTGGGTCAGCTCCAGGGGTAGGGGCCATGCCTGGAGACTGCACTTGARAGGCCAAGCAAGACCCTCTGCCCTTCTGCCCAGTACCACATCAGGGACTTCTAGGCTCCTGCCCCAAAGGACCCTTCTTGAGGAAGCCCCAAGTAGACCAGGACACCAGTTGAGGCTGGATGTGGCCCCAGAAAGGCCCGGTGACRGGGGTGACTTCCAGGCCCGAAGTTCAAACTGGGCAATGCTAAGGACAGAGAATCCATCCCGAGGGAAGAGTAATGACCACCACCCTCCCCTCACTGCCTCCCATGATGCATCTGGAAGACCATCCGGAGCCCCTTCACACACCAACACCGCAGCCATTACTGGACTCCATTAGCAGGAAGAGGAGCCCAATCATTCTTAATCAAATAGGAACGTTTGTAGGTCAGACAGACACCCTGGGGCCTGGATGGGGCTGTGGGCAGATGGTCGGGACCAGGGGGTGGAGGGGCTTCCATTGGCTTTATTTGTAAGTGTTGCAGGAACTGCCACCCTGCCTGGCCAGAGCCCCAGGCTGGGGAACCATCCCCGGGTGGATTCAGATCAAATTGATCAAACACAGCAGGGTTGCCCCAGTTCAGGGACCGGAGTCCCCAGAGAGGCCCACAGAAGTGCTCTGGAGGCCACTCCCTGCCACAACCGTCCCTGGAAAGCCACCCTGGCTTCCAAGCACAGCAAACTGTCCACGTGAGACTTTGGCTCAGCTTCCCTGGGCCTGAGCACAGGCTAGGGGCTGGGGGTTGGGACGGGTAGAGGCTGTGCCAGCCTCCCCACCCCTTCCGGAGCACCCTGMCGCCTCACTTTCCTCCAGAGGCAGAGTGCATGGGGGACGGGTGCAGGGCAGGGCCACAGCAGCCTGAAGCTGAGCACCCTGGAGTCTGGGGCCATCGCTGGGGCAGGGAGTCCAACCTCCCTGCCCTTGCGGGAGACACTGACTGGAAGCAGGAAGAGGCCACCAGCTCCCAGGGCCGTGTGGGTGGACGGTGGCCCCGGTTCAGTCAGCCACACTCAGGCACTGCTGGCTCCCCTCGCCACCCYCAGGCCCCAGCCCTGACCCCTTGGCTCCAAGCTGTCCTATGCTGCCAGCCCCACCTGACCTGCCAGGCCCTGGGCTCACTTGTTGTACAGGACAATGTCCGGCCTCCAGATGAGCTCGGAGGGGATGCGGATGGAGGTGACGTTCTCGTAGTCCCTGGGGTCCCAGCGCAGCTTGTAGTCATGCCACTCCTGTCAGGACAGAGGGAGCAGGGTGAGGGGGGCTCCGAGGACAGGGTAGGGCGGGCAGCCCTCCCCACTTACCTGCTTCACCCACACGTTCGTGGTCATCATCTGGTTCTTCTCATCCTAAGGCACAAGCAGGAAGGAGTTTGAGGCCCCTCAGGGACAGGACACCTTTCTCTAGTCCCAGCCACAGCACACACTGGCCAGGGCTAGACCTCAGGAAGGAGTGAGCACTTTACCCCTGGAGGCAACCAAGCTCAGGATGGTGGCCTGAGGGGACTCAGGATGGGGGACAGGCCCCTAAGCTTTCCTGAAGGAAACTGGGCACAAGCTTGTCTGACCTCATGGCCCCCCAGTGTTTTGATGGGCTCCAGGCTGCTCGTAGGTGAGCCCTGCCACCCATGTCACTCCCTGTCACTCACTGGACAGGTCACTCAGCTGCCCAAGCCAGTCCCTTCCCTGGCAGGACACTGAGGGGTGGGTGGGATGTRGAGCGGAGCGCATATCCCCAGGCCTGGCCTCAGTGCACCTGCCGCCCTGCRTTGCCTGCCAACCTCATCCCCACACATCCTGGCAGTGCCCAAGGAGCCTGGGAGTGGGCAGGCAGCTTGCCCCATGGCACTGGGTGCTCCTCCACAGTCCTGGGAAGAACTCCCCAGTGGCTGGGCAGGACCCTCCTGTCACACAGTGTCAGTCCCCAGGTTCCCCTGGGACCCAGAGATGTATCCCTGCACTCGCTGGCACATTTCACGAGAACTCAGCACAAACCTCTGGGGACTCTGCAGCCTACTCTGCACTGTGCCAGGCAAGCTCACACACAAGCCCACCCTACCCAGACTAAGACCCCAGACAAGACACCCCCAGCAATCATGCATGAAGGGACACAGGTGGGCTGGGGCCAGGTGGGGCACCATACCCCAGCACCTGCGGGGCATGCACAGCAGGCAGACACAGGCACCCCTCCACCCAGGGAGGGCCGTGGCCTCAGCCAGTACCCTCGGGTCAGCACATGTGTGCGCAGTTCATGAGCATCTCAGCTCCAGGGCAGACAGCAGGGCTGGGCCATGTCCCCTGCTGGAGACTTGGCCTGGGTGGACTCTGGGCCTCAATGTCTCCTGGGCAAACTGGAGGTACTGGGCTGCAAGGGACAATGGCATGACCCCAACAAGCCTGGCAGGAGATAAGGCAGTGGTTATAGACCAGGAGTCTTGTGCATCTTGCCCCGGCCCTGGCTGAGCCCCAGCCAGGGACACTGCAGGAGCCATTTGAGGGCCAGTGCCAGGACACCTGAGGGTGGAGGTCTCAGTGCTGGCTCTGAACAGGGACAAGGGTCTCCAGGTACTGTGCATGTCCCCTGCAGCCTGGGCTCCCTCACACGTCCAGACCCTGTCATGCTCCCCACTCGGCCTGGTATGCCACAGCTGCCCTCAGTGAGTCAGGACAGCACACCGGGGTGGCAGAAGGCAGCCCCTCCCTCACCAGCAGACACAAGGCCATCCTGGCAGGCTTGGGCCAGGCTTGTGGGATGCTGCACCCCTGCCACAGAGTCTCCCCCTCCCCAGATTCAGGCTCCATCCAGGCTGTTCAAAGCCACCAGGCCAGTTTGCCTCAAGACGGGTCCCACCCCAACTAGCTAGGCCTGGCTGGGAAATACTGGGCATGCAGCTGGGCACCTCTGCCTGGCAGAGGCCCTGGGCCTCCTGCTGCACACCTGTCTGGCTAGGACACTCTCTCCAACTGCTCCTCCCACACAGAGTCCTTGGGCTTTGGACCATGTGGAGCTGTTCCACCAGCCGTGGCCAGACACGGTCATCCATGTGTGATGGCCAGGCCTCCATACCTACCACGTCAATGAGCTGGGCAATGGATAGGCCAAAGCGGACCAGGACCACATCTGAGATGTTGGCCACCGGGCGGGACCACTTGTTGTAGCCAGAGAAGAGTGCCTTCAGGAGCCGCTCCTCCGCATGGGCCCGGGTCTCTGCAGGCCTGCTCACTGCAGGGAGAGGCAGGTGAGTGAACGGGGGCAGGAGCAGGCGGCGGCCATCCAGSCTGTCCTCCATCCTCAGGCCAGCCCCTCCCCCCATGTCCTCTGCCTTCCATCCCTCACAGTCACCTCCCACCTCAGCACCCTTGCACATGCTGCCCTCTGGCCTGGGCTGCCCCTGCCCCTGGATGTAAATATCCCTTCCTCGAGGAAGCCTCTTCCAGGCCACTCAGTCTGGGTCAGGTCTTCCTGACCCTGCATCTCACTGATTTGGGTATTCTCCCTAGCTGACTGTGACTTCAGAGGGAAAGGCTGTATCTCCAGTGACCAGCAGAGACAAAGGGCAGGGGCAGAAAGCAGCATAGGAGATGGGGGCCAGAAGGGGCAGGGAGAGGCAGGAAGCAAGGCCAGGATCCGCGAGCCCCCCCCGCCCCCCCGCCCCACGGAGAGCTTGCTTCCAGAGGCTGCAGGGAACACAGTTGTGGCTCAGAAGGAGCTGTGTTCTGAGGTCTGGGGGGGTAGAGTCAGTGCCCACCCTGACAACGAGCCTGGCCCCTGGGGGCTGTAGGCAACGGTGTTCTCGCACAGGGATGCCCTGGGTGAGTCCCAACTCTGCATCCTGGGGAGGGGTCCCTCATTCAGTCCTCCTTTCCCCCTCTCCCCAGGTGGTCTGGGGGCCTCCCTGCCTCCCCTGGGTGGCTGCGTTTTGGAGGGGGTTGGGGAGAGGGAGGAGAGACCCTTGCTTCCAGTTGGATCTWGCTTACCTGAGACTCAGCAGCAGGTTCCTAGGAGGCTTAGATCCTAGGGATCTCCCACTTCTAGACCCCTTGGGACCCTTGCCTCTGGCCCAGAGTATCATTCCCTAATCTTGTTCTTCCTGGTCTCTTTGACCAGTAAAGTGCAGACCGCTTTTCACCAAGAGGCCAGGGGGTTAAATTCCCTATATTCCCTCCTGAATGGGGTGGGGTGCATGGCTGCCCAGAGGATGGGAAGGGAGAGAGGTGGAGAGAACCTGCAGGAGCAGAAAAGGTGGTGTGGGGGCCCCAAGTGCAGAGGCCACCGCTGACCCACTAAGCAAGAAGAAGACATGCGTGGGTGCGTGGTCTGCAGGGAATTTTGGCCGGATGGATGCACCCCTGCGTTCCATCTCTGTCCAAGTTAGAGGTTCTAGGTCCAGCTCCGGAAATGCTGCGGGAACCCCCACATACCCACCCYAAACCCCTCTCGGCATTTGCGGGAGGTTGACTCCTTCCGCGCCAGGGCTCAGCCTGCGCCGCAGGACAGCCCATGCCTCTCCCGGGTAATGGGAGGGGGGGTCTCAGTAGCCTCGCCGCCGTTGCGCTTGCCCGCGGCTTGGCACAGCACCCAGGAGCCTTCCTTCCTCTGGCTCCGGGGTCCCGGGTGCCGGACCGAGGCGAATGGGGCCAGTTCAGCGCCCCGAAACTTACCAGGCAGGAGGCCGGTCTCCAGCAGCAGGAGCAGCAGCAGCGGCAGCGGCGCCCTGGGGCCCCCGAGCTCCATGGCGCACCGATCCGGCGCTAGACGCGGGCGGCTCCGGGTTCCGCCGCGCCCCGGCTCCAAGGCCCGCGCGCACCCAACTTCATGCCCCGCGCCGCGGGCGACTGTCCCCCAGCCCGACTCGACTGCTCGTCCCGCGGGGCGCGGCGGCTGCGGGGCGGGTGCGCGAGGCTGTAGGATCCGCGGCGCAGCCCCGCCCGGACCTGCCGCCTCCAGCCGCGGGGAGAGGGGAGGAGGGGGAGGGAGGGGAGGAAGGGGAGGGAGGGGAAGAGGAGGGAGCGGAGGAGGAGGGGGCGGATCGCGCACCGGAGGGGACGTGGAAGCTGCGGCTGGCCCTGCGCCGGGGTAAAGTTACCTCGTCCCACCGAGGCTCGGGACCTGCTCGAGCCCGGGGTGGGGAACCCTTGGTCACTGCGGGCACCCCCGGGATCCCAGGCAGTCTGGACCRCGGTCTTCCACCCTCGTCTCCAGCTTTGGGTCCCCGAGCCTGCCTGGAGGTGGAGGGCGCACGTCCAGGGCCTCTGGGCGCTAAGAGGGCGCCCCACACGGTTCTGGTAACTCCACCATCACCCCATGCTGCCTTAGCGCGAGTGTTGGCAGTTCAGAAAGCACAGATCTTTCACCTTCTTCCCCAGCAGACTCTGGGGAAAGAGCCCCCTTCCCACCCCTGCCCMCCTCTGCGCGGAGAAGCCCAGGCCTTGCCTCAACCTTTCTGGGCAAAGACCGACTTAACTCTGCCTCTGAAACTTGGGATCCAGCCTGGAAACAGGGTCTGAAGCCCTTCCTTGCCCACCCCAGCAGAGCCTGCAAGCTTCCCTCCAGCACTCTGTGGGCAGTGGGTGAGGGGCCACAGGGGAGGGTCCCAGGAGCTTGGAGAACAGATCTTGGCAGGTTGGCTTGTATGGAGATGCTCCAGCTGGCTGCCAGGGAGGGTCTCCACCTTCACCACAGATGTCAGGTGATCCCCACATGCACAGGTGGGGAGGGGGAGCCCTTTGTGTGACAGCCTGGTTGCAGGGAGAAGGAGAGGGCTGGCTCTCTAGAACCTCCGGCCGGCCCTTGGACCCTGTGCCTACCCCCTCCACCCCGGCTCTGCAGCATGGCCACCTGCCACAGCCAGCAGACTAGACCTCAGGTCCAGGGGTTGGGGTGAAGGGGCTAGAGAGATCCCTGTTCTTCCCTCCAAGGCCACAGCTACTTGTGGCAGAATGTCCCTCAGGACCTCCCTAGGCTGCTCCTACCCCTACCCAAGCTCCCTCTGCAGCTCCCCACCCTGTCTGCCTGTCCCTGCTSTGGTGCCCCAGCCCTTATGTCCTCTGGGGACGAGGTAACTTTATACCCACACACCTTCTCTGGGACGCCAGTGTTCTTCCTGTTCACCAGAGGGTTGTGTCTGTAGGAGAAAGACCGGCTGTCAGAGGTTTCAGACACTCAGGGGCAGCTCAACAGTGACCTTCCCTCAACATGGCCATCTCTCCCCTTTTGTGCCTTCCCAGGTGCTGGCCCAAGTGATGTGGATGCTGGCCCACTGGACTCCCACAGCACTCTGAGGATGGGCTCTTTCCTTATCCCTGCTTTGCCCAAGAAGAAACAAGCACAGAGAGGTTAAGCAACTTGTCCAAGGTCACACATCCAGTTGTGGGTTTCCAAAGCAGGCCACCCTGCTTCAGGGTCAACACCCTGGTCTCCTAGCCTCAGGTGAGCACGTCCTCGGTTTTTTGGCCGTACTCCTGTAGTCTCTCCTTGAGCCAGGAGATGCTGGACCGCACACATGCACCGGGCTCATCACCCTCAGACCCCTGCCTACCTGGCTCCTCAGGGCTGATCCAGCCCCTCCAAGAGCCGACTCCATTCTAGGGACCAGGAAATTCACGTGKTCTGCAAATGTGGACCCACAGCAGCCGGCACCTCCTTACCTCCTCCTCAGGGAAGGTGGAGGGTGGCGAGGCTGGTGACGCCCTCCTGGAGAGCCACGGCTGGTGTGCCCAGTCTCCTGCATGAAGGGGCCCTGTCCCCACTGCCGGGGTCACATCCACAGTGCCTTTTTGGGCACAGTGCAGAGGAACACCACACCCTCCTGTGAACCAGAGAGGCCGGCTGCTCTGGTCCTTCCTGGAGTCCCTTCCAGCCACCCCATGAGAGGGCTGCCAGCTGCTCTGGCCRTGGGAAGGTGGGCGTGGGCAGAGTCCCTTGCTGTCAATAAGGTGAGGTCTGCCCGCTAAGGCCAARGGCTGCTCTGTCCTCATCCGAAATCAACCAAGGCCTCTCCAGGTGAGGAGGCCCTCGGCTCTCAGGACTTGCTGACCTTGGGGCTCCTTCAGTGTCCTGCTGGAGTCAGGGAAGGTGTGGGGAGTGCTAGGAGCCCTGGGTGGCTCACTGCAGGAGGAGCACACCAGGACACAGCCTGGAGGACTCGGCTGCCACTCCCAGCGGGGCACTGGGACCCACCTGGGGAGTCTGACACCCACTTTTAGAGAGCCCTGCTCTGGGATACAGCCCCGATCTGTGGTCTCTCACAGCCCACTCCAGCAACTCTGAAGCAGGGGCCTTAGGCCATGTGCTGCAAAGACTGACTTGGAGTGGGCTGGTCKAGCTCCAGGCTCAGTGTGAGCCCATCTGCAGACCCTGCAGGCCCAGACAGTGGCCCTCAGGCTAAGTCATAGGTGCCTGCACCCATGTTGAGGCCAGCAGGCCCGTCTCTCCAAGGCCAGGCTAGGGTCAGCTCCGCCCTCAGGCTGCGTGCCCCGGCTCACACACATCTGTCYGGCCTGGTTGGCTCTCCCTGTGGATTTGCTAATGCAGAAGGATTAATTGAGTCTAACTCATTAATTTGCAGGCCCTTCCCTCCCCACCTGCTGGCCTGAAAGCCTTGTGGCAGGAACCTAGTAATCATAGCAGATGGACACAGTTCTTACTTCAGGCCCCAGAAAGGAAAAGTCCAGATTCACAAGATCCTGAGACTGCTCTGGGGAAAGGCTGCGTCCAGAGCTACGCACCCCTTGGCGGAGGGGTGTGGGGCAGGCCCTTACATGCCTCCCCCACCCCACCCCTGTGCTGTGGCCCCTCCAGGCTGCCACTGACAGTGGACAGTAGTTTCTGCAGGCTGATCTCCGAGGGCCCCTCCTTCTCTCTGCCCTCTACCCTCCACCCTGTGCAAGGACATTTCCATGGTAACCATCTGCTGGTGTGAACAGGGACTCACGTAAAGGTGGCTGCACTGGGGAGCATCAGCCGGTGCGATTCTGGCCAGGCTGCACCTCAGCGGTGAGGGGCGCTGACCCGTGAGTGCAGGGGCTTGCTGGGACTGCTCTCCTTGGCTCCAGGGCCTCCGCCCTCCAACCTTTCACCAGGCCCCACTCACAGAAGGGGACAGTCCATTTCCTCTCCTGTGGAAACCTCTGCCCTTCAGGGGACACTGCACCTGGGAACTTCCTAGTCTCCCTGGACAGCCCCAGCAGCCCTGGGCAGTAGGCAGAGCCTGCCCAGTGCCCCCCCAGTGAGTCTCCCCAGGTATGTTCTCTTGCCCGCTCTGCCCGAGGTGCAGGTTTTGATCTCCTTCCTGGCCCTCTTCACACCCAAGCTCTGGACTCCATCGACWCAGGCCCCACAAGGACACAGGAGGGGCTCTTAGTGAGGCAGGGTACGTGTGTCCAGTGCAAGGCTGGGTAAGAGTGAGTGAGGGAGGGGTGGGCACGAGGGAATCCCTGCTTTGAGGGCTGGGTCCAGAGTGGGCTCTGTCCCGTGCACACCCTAACTGCCTCAGGCTAAGAGGGTCCACGCTTGGGCTGGACTTCAGCTTATGGGCAGGCGAGAAGAGGAGAGTCACAGAGCCCAGGAGAGAGGAGCTGAAACCAARTCTGGCCAAGCAGGATGGGGACGCGTACCTGGCCCCTTGTCAGTGTCCCCGTGATGAGTTCTGTGGTGTAGCAGGTCTGGCTTGGCAGGGCCTCCACCTTCCTCTGCCTTGGCCTGGGGGCAGAGGGCAGCTGCCCCTGGTGTCCTTCCTGCTGCAGCTGGAGTCTCTGCAGCCTCACTCCCCCAGCCCAGGGGCTCCCAGGGCTCCTCACCTCACTGGGCTTCCTGTGCATGGACCTGTCTCTGCTGGGCTCCAGCACGGCCAGCTGCCTGCCCTCCCCCACCCCCTGCCGCCTCTSCTAAGTGGTTAATTATCTATAAACACTCCAAGGAGTTCTCACAGTGATGAATGGGAGCCTGGGTCGGCCCCAGTCTTGCTGTTGGCTCAGGGAGTGCTCCGTGGCCACCAGAGCTGCTGTTCAAACCTGGGGCTCTGCCCTGCCACCTGGTGACCTCAGGCACATCCCTCACCTCCCTGAGGTGACACTGGTCACCAGCCCTCACAAGGATGAGGAAGGAAGGGAGCTAGGGTCAGGTGCTGGCGCGCTGGGACCTGGGCTGTTGCTGGCACCACGGGGCGGCCCTGTGCTCTCAGGGGAGGTCCTAGGCGGGCTGTGTAAGAGGGGGTCTCTGTRGGGGTCACACTCAGGAGCCCTAGGAGTCCAGGTGCACGACCTGTGGGCCAGACCAGGCATGGTGCAGCCAGCCTGCGCCTCCCCACCTGGGCTGCCGAGCATCCACCATGACCTCAGGGGCACGGACCCCAGGACCCCAGCCCAGGCCTCCCGACACCTGCCCGCTCCCCAGTCTGGGGGTTGCCACCCGTCCCCTCTGGCTGGCACTGAGGCTGAGGCTAGGAGGGGGTGTCTGGCTCCTTGTGAGGAACTGTGTCCTCACAGGCCACCAGCACGGGCAGGCCCTTTGTCTTGACTGCCGCTGCCTGTGAGTGATGTCCAGCCCAAGGCTTCAGCAGCCACCTCCTGCAGCAGAGGGGGGAGGGGAGGGCACTTCCCTGCAGGGGGCGGGGCCTGTTCCAGTCTCGGCATGTGACAGTCCCTGGGCTGGCCAGGGATTGAGTGATCCTCCAGAGAGAGCACTGTCTTCCTGCTAAATTCTCTTCCTCCTCCTTCCCCTCTGAGTCACCTTGTGAGCCACCCTTGTGGCCACCTTGTCCTCTTGTGCCCGGGGCCTGCCACCGTGTGGAGAAGAGACTCTAACTCACTTGGAGCTGATGCCTG